AATGCTTGAGCTCGGCCATGACGGGAATTTCATTCCTGCAAAGCATCATCTCGGGCTCGAATCGCGCTAGGTGCCCGCTCGAAAATTCCGGATGCAAGGTCGAACATTCCCACGAGTCTTGTGGAATGCGGCAGAGAATTCCTTACCCTCTCTCGAATGGAGCTTGATTGTTGACGGTGAGCTTCACGTCGATCGCAGTCGCTTCTTTACCGGTACGAACAACGGTGAGCTCTTGCCGAGCTTCACCCTCCCATCCGGCCATACCGACCTTGAGAATGATTCTTCTTTAGATTTAGTCGCTTGTCGATAATCTATCCTCATGACGGGGAAATTCATTCGTTGCGACTTCTGAAGAATATTCATCATACCTTGATGGTGATTGGATGTTTACTCCCATCGTCAGTTGTTTCGTGATCCGTCATTTCCACCAAAGCCTCGAGGACAATATCATCGTCTCCTTGTTGGAAGCGTCCTCGCACATGACTGTAACCTGGAAGGGAGCTCGAGGTTGCGAGAATGTCCCACATGGACTGTTGAATCCACGCAACAGACAACGAGCAGTCGCCAGCCTCGAACTCGCGAGGGAAACAATATTTTCGTCCAAGTTGCGGACCCATTAGGGATTCGGAGCGTACGTACCGGGGTTCGCAAAATATCCTAGGGGGGCTGAGGCCTTGTCATGTTGAACGTTTCCAAACGATGAGCCCAGGGTGACTTGGAGTTTTTTGTCTCGATAACATGGAATGTTGCGTCCGACGGCCGATATGCGCAGATCGTGGAGCACAATGATCGCAACCTGAAGCGGGAGCGCTCGTAGTTAGCGGAGCCTCTCGGAATCTAATACTCCGCGTTGGCGGTTTCGAAAATGTCCAAGAGCTTCGTCGCGCTTCGTCCATATTCCGTATTTGTCGTGTCGGTCTGTACCTTATCGGATCTAGCGCCCTGCACTTTGACGGACACTTCCGTCATTGCGCCTTTCGGAACGGTGATGTTGAAGGATATCCATCGCCTCTGACGAATTCCTATGCTCTCCTCATCGCTCTTCGTCTGCTTGACCGATGGCTCGAAGAACTGCATTTGACATCGGTTAAGTTCCGTATGCGTTCGATGGCAATCTGAAGGTGTGGAATTCGGAAGAATTTTCGAAGGAAGCCATGACTTACCGTTCCGATGGTTTGCTCAGCCTTCTCGCTGACTGTCAGCTTCAAATTCTTCTGATCTTTCCCAGCACTGGTCACGAGCTGAGAGCTGATGGCCAGTGGGGTGCCATCAGTGTATTTTGCGCCGGGCTTCAGTAGTATTGGAACCGTGAATCGCAGCTGTAAAGTGAAGTAGGAGCTTCTTACGATTCATATCCAGCTCAAGAGGGTTTCCAAGGCTGGTGATTCGGATAAGGGCTTCTACGGTATAGGAGAGCACCAGAACACTCTATTCTGGGGGACTCACGTAATTTTCTTCCTGTTTGGATCGTTCAATAAACGAATTGCAGACTAGACCGAGGTTGTATTGTCCGAGGAGATTTTCACTGCGAGGAGGATGAATAATACCGTGAATGCAAATTACAGGGCGAGGATAGCGCCTTCACTACATCTGACTCCGTAGGGAATAATTAAGAATTCTTTCTGACCCTTCTCCGTGTTTGCTCCATTGGTCGGGTGAGGAACAGGGGTAGTTTTTGCCGAGGTGACTGATGCCCTCATGGCAGACTTCCAAATCAGTGGACCGGACGAGACCGTCGTCCAGAGTCAGGTCGAAACGCAGCCTTGACGAGGTGAACTCTACCAATTCGGTCGTTAGCGTGACCATGGTTATCGCACCCGGGGCGATCGTCGTCAAGGCGGCCTCGGAAGGCGCCAATTGGAGCGTGCGAGGTGGTATAGACCCCTGGAACGAGTCGTTCAGCGTAAATGAGCGCCCTCCAACTCCACGGAGTTTTCCAGGGAGAATTCCACGCTTCTCCCCGGAGATGTTTCCTGGCTCGAGAGTCTCCGTGAGGATGGTCAACGGGGAAGAGTGGGGGTCATTCGAGAAACGAAACTATCGTCCGAAGACTGTAAGATAACTTACTCCATTCGAGGTGACGAGTCCAGTGGTGTTGTGAGAAGTGGAGACGGGGAGGATGATGGTGTCGTCTATTTGGCCTTTCGAGCCGTAGGAAACTTTGAGTTTCAGCGCCTTGTTCCGTGTGGCACGGCTACCGATTTTCACGATAGCGGTGAAAACCAACGAGTTCGGATCCAAAAATCGACCCTGCTTCATTGGGTACGTGCCTGGAAGAAGAATATGTCGAAAATCGGTGCATCATCGTGATCTCAGGTTCATCGAGTGACAAAGATCTATGCATGTGACTAACTTAGTGTATCGAGCCGATATCAGAGATCAGCTAAGACAGACAGACGCTAGAAACAGCTGCTGTCTCGTCTAAAGGAAACTCACCGACGTTGGCAAGAGCGTTGAGGGCCAAAGAAGCCTTCTTGTTACCATTGTCAGAATCGGAGTGGAGCAAGTACTCAGCCGGCGTAGAGTCTTCCACGCAGGGCATTGAGTCCCCAATCGATTTGATCTTCAGGATACAGACACTTACGTCTGGATCATTGCTCGACAGCTGTTGATGGAATGGATAGTAGTGATTCTGTTCGCGAACTTGAAGCGTTTTTTTCGCTTCAGTTCTCCTGAAGATCGAGAACGTTCGACGCGACGGTGGAACAGAAGTCAGAAATCTCCAAGCCAAGGACCCAAGCTCGGACTGGAGGACTTCCCCACGCAAAGCGAATCTTACCTCTACGAGGTAGAGTGCCATGCTCTTGGGAGGCGTTTTGAGCACGATTTCGATTTCACCAACGCCTCCCGGAACGAATGATGGGCTGATGTTGTCGAAGTAGACAAAGGCTTGTTGATTCTGTCATGGAAGCGTTTTGAGTCAAAATAAATTCTGAACGCGGATAATTACCCGGAGAAATTCGTGATCCTGCTCGGGGCATTTCGCTCCCAGGCACCTACCTTCAGGAAATCTTTTGATGGCGGTCTGGCCATGATGAATTTCCGATCATCTTGGAAGAAGGCTTTGTTGTTTAGAGATAGAACCGTGTGCAAAGGGAAAGGTTGACCGTTTGTGAAACTTTGCTCTCCTTGAAGGTTGGCTACCACATTTATGATTACCTGTGGGAGCGTGATTCGAATAAGGCAATCTACCCTTCTCTAGTCTCGATCAAGTGCTCAGAACTTGGGACAAAATTCGAGTTCCAGCTGGACCGTCCGGAACTTTGGAAACTCACTTGAGATTCCGTTTGATTGCCGGGGGATGTGCCAACGTGACAGAGTCGGTCGAATTGCACGAACACGGAATCTTCGTCTTGACGTTCGGGTTGACTGAAATTTTTTTCGCCCCTCACTCAGATTTTGTTGAGGATTAAACCTGAATAGGGGCAAGTGGTCCCCGGACAGACCGGGAAGCGAAGCGTGTCAGAGAAGTCTTACACTTTGATTTTGGTGATCGCGTTTTCGTTGAGGGATTCCCGCTGAGCCTGCGCGCAGGGTAGCCCTCGACCGATATGAGATACCCGCGCTCGGCAAATATGCGCTCCGGGCAGATTGATGTTGCTGAGATCGGTGACGCTCAGCGACAGATTCGTGTAGAACGCATTCAGGGGGAGGGACACAATGATGTCAAATGCTACAGCGCCCCCCACATAGATCTCTCTCCAGGTGACGGCGTCCTCCGTTCGCACCTCTGGCGGATTGGTGTATCTCTGCAAAGCGATTCCGCCCGTTCAGAAGCCTCCCAGAAGGCACTTGGTCTTCCATTTCGGAAGACCAAGGAGGGGCGCGATTGCTGTTCCACCTCACCTTCGGCTCGATGATGAGCGGATCAGTTGGAACGATCACTGGATCCTCACGCTTGCCGATCTTCAGCTTCACCGGTACCGGATTGGCTTCCCCTTTGGGCCCTTCGGAGGACTCGGGATCCACAAAGAAGAAAACGTGGAGGACCGCTGTACTTTCGGCGGCCTGGATGCCATTTCGCTGAGGAAAAAAATTCTCTGTTCAGTGGAGCCTTCTGAGAAGCCCGGAGTCTCGTCACTATTCGACCTTCTACACTTCGAAGGGGTTGCGGGATGCGAACCTGATCGGAAACGAAAATCCGGCCCATGTCGATTGTCACTTGCTCGCCATCGTTCGTAGCCTTTGAGCTTGAGCTGTTCGCCCAAATCACGTTGAATCCGCTCTTGACTTGATCAAAACGAGCAGAGCATAGAGTTACAGGGTTGCCCGGTTCGAGTGACTGTCGAGGAACAAAATCAGTCAAACGTTGTGACACCGACCGCAAATCGGCGATGCTAAACGAATCTCCACGGGTCAGTGTACGGATGCGGATCGTTGCGGATGTCATTGCATGCATGGTTGGATATGGAAACCGAGTTTCCGTGATTTCGGCCAATCGAAACGTATGCATATTTCAGCGGAGGGAAACCCACTTGAACTATGAATATTTCCGTGAATGCCGAGCTCGTCAGATTTAGATGCACTTCATACTGGAGGAGGTTGCCTAAGAGAGCCCTCTGGGGGGCGACGACTACTCTGGAATCTTCTATGTTGGTCAGCTGAAATTGGAGATCGTGATGAATACGAAGAGCCGACGAATCTGTTGGGGATCTCAGCAGTCCTCGAATCGTCTCTGTCAGGCGTCGGCCGATTCATCAGGAGCAGCGCGTACTCACAGTTTCGTTGTCGTTTCGTTCGGTGATGTTGACCCGGAAAGTGTCCTGCCACAGGACCTTGCCCGCAACTTCGATGGCTATGGAGAACTGCTCCTCATTCCCGATTGTGTCGGGTCGTGTCAGAGCGAACAGTCCGATAGTGAATGATACCTAGAATAGAAGTCGAAATCATTTCCTGTGCGAACGTCTTTTCTCTGGCAAGCCCCCTCGTCAGTCGAGCACGAATTATGGACATCGTTAGTCTGCTCCGGGTGGGAAAAATGTGTGGAAAGTTCTTGCCTTGTTTTCGTTGTTTGCCGTTCGGGGCTTCTGATACATTGATCCGATGTTGGTCAGAATTCCAAGGTCGATCGACGCTGACTTGAAGCTTTCTTTCGTGGCCGATTGAACCCGCTCGGTTTTGTAATGATCTACGTTCTGAGGTACGGCCATGTAGTTTGTTCCGAACCCTGCCGAATTCAAACCGAGGTTCATTTTTAATCATGATCATGCCTAACCCATGAGAGCATTGTTCTCGTGAAACCTGTCCTGTTGAATTCGGAGGACCAACTTCCAGTACCTGCGACTCCAAGATTGCCGACGCTAAGGACGTCCTCCAGCGCAGTGGGTCCGCGGACTTTGATTGAAACCTTATCCGACCTGGTGACGAGAGAAAGAGACAGCGCTCGAAAAACGGATTTGATGCTCAAGAGCCGACCGCAAGCTCTCGGTCTACAATGCACGACGTATATGACTCACGTACGACATATACGAGTCGTATACCGTTATCTGGCGTCCGTCGTCTCACCTGATTTTCATGAAGGCGTCGAGTGTGTAAATACCAGCGCTGTCCATAGCGATTTCTTTCGGCCCGTCGAAATCTGCCTCGACTATTTTTTCGTCTTCGTTCTGCGGGTAATTCCGGAAATCTCCATGAATACGAGGAAAGCGGGCCGTAACTGAGGGCTGATAGAGCCTCCATATTCCTCGAGGTCTCGGATAAACTGAATTACGCGGCCTCAAATCGTTTTTTCTTATTCGTGCGAGGCGCGTGCAGAATAGCTCTTACCGGTTTCACGTTTTGCATCGAGACCTCTGTCTGAGAGATCCAGATGAAGCGTTCAAAGTCGTATTCGGCTCCTACGGTCACGTAATGGATCTGTCAAAATAAAGAGAGGCAATCATTCTCAGGATTGAGTCTAGAATAGGACACTCAGGGTGCTCATCGAGGGTCTGCGTCGTCCTCGGCCGCTTTCAGATTTTCTCACGATCGAACCTTGTACGTAGACTTGACGCGAACAGCGGTCACGGAGAACGTGATCACGATTTTCCGGAAGGTATCGGGATTGATGATGTCTCCGAAGTTAATCAGGATTCGATCGTACTGAAAACAAGAACACGCGTTATCCCTGCTCAGAAACGCCGAAGGATTAGTCCGTCTCTTCCTCTCTCCAAACTTCAACATAGATATCCATGAGAGCGGATCCGGAATGCGTACCACGTTGCTGCCCTGCTGGTTGCTCAGCATTTTGCTAACTTGGGGTTCCCCGGAACTGAGGGTCATCTCCGGGGGTACTTTCGTTTCGATATTGTAAATGTTCAGGACTGGGTTGTAGGAGTCCGCGACCACGTCCTGGGGGTGAAGAAGAGTGATCAGCTGTTTAGAGCGAGTACCGTCGTTATCGCGGGATCGCTTCACAAAATGAGCGAAGTCACGAACCTTGGTGAATATATCGAGTTGGAGATCGAGTCGTTCGGTCGGAGGCACGCTCACTTCTAGTTCGAAGTTGAGAACCTGCGGTAGAAATTCGGATGAGGCCCTGATCAGATCCGAGTCTGGATCTGTACTTAATCAGGAGGGTGACACAAGGACCCGCTTCTTCAGGGTACGATTACCTTGCCAATCTCCATAGCGTCTGGTTCTCCGCTCTTGAGGGTGAGCTTGAAATCCGTTTTGTAGTTCTGACTGTCCTCCTCTGGGACGAGTTCGTCCTGCGAGATTTGCACATCACGTTTGCCTCGATGATGTTCAGAGATGGCATTCGCCGGATGCTCAGATGAGCCCTGCGCGAGAAAGCGTCCGATCAAGCGGTATGGCAATCAGGTCTTTCGAGAGGGAGAACTCGAGAGGAAATATGTGTACGCGGGGAATCCACTCAAGGATATGTGGGCAGCCTCCTGCAGGGAACCTTTTGAGAAGCGACTCGGAGCTTCATCACGCTGTCGGGGTCCGTGTCATTATCAGCTGTCTCTCGGCTCCAGGCGCCGATTTCAAGGTGGAAAACGCCGCGTTCCAGGAACAGCGACGGGTCTGAGACATATAGGAGTCCGGAGGACTCATTGAGGGTGAACACCTGTGAATAAGCACAAGTTTGGATTCATCAAGGGGAGAAGATTGCTGCTCGTCCTGATGGGCTATCTCAGGGAAACAGTGATCCTTCCGTAATTGAATTGGATCTCGCGAGGAATCATTCATCGGATGGGACCCCAGGTGCGGTGGTTCGAATAATAAGATGCGAAAGATCTTCAAGTGTACCTCTTTCTGGTTCCCTGATATGAAAGCGTACGATACTTGAGCACAGCTGCACGGAGCCCCTTGAGCATCAGCGCATGTGGTGTTGATGTCCCTGCAGAATCGGGGTAAATTGAGGAATGCACCCGTGGATATGAATTAAGAATTCCGATTACTTGCTTCCGGTCCGCTCACCTGTCCAGAGCACTGACTGTATAAATGGGTGAATCACTCCAGGGGTTCGGAACGACGATTGAGACGTCGCGTTGTTCGAATGAGGGAGTCCATATATCCACTATGCCGGAGTGAAAGTAGAGAAAGAAGACATTCTCGTGATTGTCATCGATTTCCTGAATCCCGGGGACTACGCCCTCAGCAGCCGTCGTCAGGCCCAAAACCATCACGGGCCCCACGGTATTCCCTCATAGCGCATCGATATGAGACATCCATACTCGAAACAGACAGGTATACTCACGTAGATCGTCACAGGATTCGCCATCCCAGCACGGATGACATACACAGTAACCCATTTCGTTGCAGGTCCCATGATCGCACGGCATTTCCCTATTTTCAATGAATGGAGGAGAGGAGTGAATATCTTGATTCGTAAACGATTTCTGATCCCCACCCATTCCCACTCGACCAGCTGTGTCCTTATATCCTCCCTCAAGTGGATTGATAGATCTCGAAACGGGCTTCCTGGGAGGAAGGGTCTCGCGAGACGATGATCGGAGTTGAATTTTCCGAAGGAAAATTCCATTTCCTTCCATATATTCAACTATATCTTGTATCTTGTATATTCGCGCATCTCGGGTAGGAAACCAGCCGACATCCGAGAATCTTGCGTTCTTGGAGCGAGAGTCGAGAATTTTGGCTTATGCATAGGGAAAGAGGATTTTGCGATCAGGGAACCCTGGGAGCGCCCACTGTAAATGGAGATGGCAATCATCGAAAGCGCGTCCTTGGAAAGGTTGCAAGCGGACCTCTCGCTGGACCGATGTGCGTCAAGCCACCGGGGCGTGCCGACCCCTCATGGCACGCTCTACCAACCACTTGTACAAATGTATGAATGACGTCATTGCCGTGCACGGCGTACTTATACTTCTCCTCCAAGCTCTGCAGGGCAGAACGGCTTCGCTCAGCCAGTCGTCGGAGATGAGTTACGCTAGAATGCAATCGAATCGCGAATCCACCGCCGAAAATCGCATCATTCTTCTACATTCTCGCTGGATTTTTCATGATCAGCCTAGCGGCTACCCAAATGTCACTCCGGGGGAGATACATAGGTTCTTCTCCCAGAGAAACCATGGTTCTTCTCCCAGAGGAACCATCTTCTCTTCTCTGAGGGATTTCGATTCCCTCTCCTGAACTACCCAGAGACCAACCGAGCCCCTGTGGAGGACAAGGATCCACTCGGTGGTTTCCGTCGTATGCTTCTATCCCTCTGCGGAGCCGCGCGAATTGATATTCTGACTCGCTTCTGATTAAAACGGAAGCTACTCACAGCACACAGCTCCGCGCACCGGCGTCGCAATCTGCGAGAGTCCTCTTGCAGAGTTTCATCGTTTTTCGGCTCGCTCCGTCGTGATCGATGACCGGCCGCAGCTCGACATCTGTCGCAACGACACCTGGTACGAATAAAAGCGATTATACCACTCCATAATCCTGCTCCGTGCTGCGCGGATTCCCCTACGGTGCCTGGCCTCGGAGCAAATCCTCCAAGTTGAAGCCATTACGTGAGTTGGCGGGTTTCCGGATCCCGCCCCGGTTTTCCGGGGGGAATATGCAATGTGATGACTTTGAGGCAACGAGCGAGGCCCGATCACGGAATCACCCCGAGATTCGCCTTTCCCCGAAATCATGACTGCTCGTAAGTGTTTTATTGCGCATCCGCGATGCTAACAAAGCGGGTGAGTCGAAAATGAAAGAAACGAACCAGAGCATGCTACGCCGAAATGCGGGTTGCTCCGACCGCGAGGGCGTTCACTCTGAATCGAAGTACGCATATGACATACGAGGAGCGTAAAGGGACCGGGACCGGGACAGTTTCTCCCGGGAATCCTAGGGCAGTCTTCGAGCGGGAGCCGGCTGAGCCCTCCAGCTCTCGGGTGACATATTCTCGCCGCCACCTTTATGGTCCGCCGCGGAGTTTCCGAAAGCAGCTAGGAAGCAGGAAAATCGTGCGCTTGATATTGTCTGCTCACCTTCTAGGGCTAGCCAGATTGCAATTGCCGTTAGGGCGATGTTCTGACGTCGTCTCATGTCGAATCGGCTACGTTTCCACAAATTCGTGGTCGGATCTATGGGTTCGAGTCCTGTGTAGAATTCGAGTGCCTCAGGCCCTCCAGGGTCTTCGAAGGCTGAACCTTGCACGAATACTCCTTACAAAGCCTTGGATGTCCTTCGGATGGGAATGTGATTTTCGCTTCTCCTACGCTTCTAACACGAGATGACGTTGACGTTACAGCGGACACATACGCTGTACGAAGCCACTGTTGAAGCTCTGAGCTCCTGGACGCCAATGCTGCAGGACTCGTACTCTGCGTGCGATCCAATGCACGCTTCGCTAACAGAGCGTTCAGTGTTGTTGCTGACGGAGCCGGCGGCGTTGGTAACTCGCACCGTTGGACCATCATACACTTACCGCATGATCATTATACGCTTGAGAAGGGCTCACTCTGTTGAGTCCTTGACCGTGCGCGGACGTTGCTCGACAACCGGGTGAATCGATGGCATTTCCAACCTAGATCGGGCGTGCCCGGCGCTGTCGATCCCGGCTCCTATGAATCTAGATTTCATTCGCGTATCAATCGAATGACATGTTATCGTCGCATCCTTTCATTGGGGAATGTCATGGGGTGCGCAGTTCTCTATCGTGCCTGTTTTCTAATAATTTCGAGTAGAGACTTTCGACCGGACGCACAATGGAGGCAGGTGCTCGAGGATTGAGTAACTAGGGCGTAAGAGCCGGAAGTATGGCCTACTGATCCTATTGGATGGACGTGTTTCCATCAAATGTCACACCCGTATCAGAGTCCCATCAGAGACACGGTGCTGTGCAACCGAATGGTACGACGAGCGTTTACGAATCCTCCTGCACGATGGACGGAATCGCTACATCCTTTTTCATGTTCATAAGCATTCTGGAATTGTTCGCCCGACCTGGGAGAATCGCAGCGAATTTCACTCCGTCATATGATTATATTGCTCATAGTGTCGTAAAGCAGCTCGCATCCCAGACCTGCTCAGATTGCGTAATCAATCTTTGCTTCTTAGGCCCAGACCCCACTGGACTCCTATGATAGAAGCTTCCTTGACTCTTCTAAAGAATCATAGCTTTTCTGAAGAATCATCTTTCTGAAGAATCATAGCTGGGGAACACCGGTTTAGTGAGAGATGCATGCCTCCATTCGAAATCCCATGAGCACTAAATTCGTTCGCTTGTGAGAATCCTGAAATCCCGCGTTACAGCGACCTCGCTCCTAAGCAGCTTTAGTGGGCAGAGCTCTCGTCGAAAAATGTGAGGGACCCTCAGCATTGAGAGTATCAGCTAGTCGATTTCGGAATAATCCAAGTTAGACGGTACGTAGAGGCATCTCATTGAACCTCGAGGTCATGGGGACGAGGATACAGCGAAGTCAGAGGGCCTCTTCGCAGCTGATCCTGGACTGAGACTACAGAAAGCTCGCTTTTGGCTCGTACGATAAGGTGACGGAGAACAGAGCCGAGTTTCTCAAATCGGGAGAGACTCGGAGGCACCGGATTCCTTCAAGGAATCTCTCCATTGCCGAAGGTTAATGACTACGGAGTAACTGCGAAGTCTTAGCTGATCCCATTTGGGCTTCCCCCTGAGGGCCGCGTCCTGGCGAGTGCTGCGGTGTGACCCATGTGGACTCCCAGCCGTAACCTCTGAAACAAATATTCCATCGCTTGATTTTCACCAGAGACTATGTCGGCTAGTCCGCTGAGGTCCTGCAGGGATTCGTCAGAGAAGGAATCCACAGTCTTCGGAATTTCCTAACCTCGACCGAGCTCCGAGTTCCGCCGACTGCAGGTAAGTCTTATCATCAATGAGCTCGTGACATCATTGGATCATCAGCAAACTAATATATACGTAGAACTCTATTCGACTTTTTCTCGTCCAAGTTTTCGTTAGAGCGAGCGGATATTCGGCCCAATATTTCCTCCCGATCAGTCTCTTGCGAAGCGCGCAGAGAGAATGCCTCCGTGAAAGAGATCGTTCCGAGCGTCGGCATCTTTACACGGCTAAAAATCCCTGCGTCTCTCGCATCTCGATCCTAGCAGGTAGGCAAGGTCTTCCACATCGAAATCTTTCGGCGAGAAGTATTGACCGTCGTCAGATGAGACCCCGAGAAGATCCGTCCACTTCGGGCATCAAGCTTCTCGGTGCATAAAACCAGTCCGGAGAAGAGCTTAAACGGCTAATTTGACGGGAATTTTCTAGTTCTCGAACCAATACTGATCTTGAAAGCTCTCGGTATCGCAAATTAGAGACGAGGAAGAAATCTTAGAAGAAAAAAGTCCGAGGGGTCCATCAAGTCGGGCTTTGGGCCGGAATCAGGGCAGTCCGCTTCGAGCATCGAAGGGACACGTTTCGCAACTGTTGACGACCAGTTCCGTATGGCGCTGGAACGATACACGCCGCTGCGGCCGGGGAAGCCACGACGCGATACGCAAGAAAACTCGCCGCGCTCCGATGCTGTTTGGCGCCAAATTCGAATAGGAACGTGGCTACCTCTTGCAGCGTCTGCCCTTACACAATCCTCCTCTCCACGTCTCGGTCGCGTTCGATTTTTCAGGAAAGCGCGGATATTTTCAGACGAAAAAGACACTTCTATCAGCGCGATCCGCAACACCATGCCGAGCTCAGAGGTCGCTGCTAGAGCAGCAGAGGTCTCGACATTGCTAGACTTGCTTTGAAGATGCGACGTTGACTTCGTGATCCGTAGTGTGTGTTGGCTGAGCATTAGAGGGGTGAGATCCGAAATGAATCCGCTTATCGAGTTCGTCAAAGTGCTTCCTAGTGATCCGAAGACTGCGCCAGCCTGTGCGCACGGTCCGGCGCTCCTTTTCGATCGGGTGGGGAAAAAATTCTTCGCTTGTTCTGCGTGCCGGTTCGTGAGAATTCCTCTGTTCTATTATTCATATCATCGGGATCTCGAATCGGAATACTCGCAAGAGGACTGTCTTGATCCTTATTCCCGTCAGGAAGCATGAGGTTCCCATTCTCATAGAATGCATTCTCTGCAGCGATAGAAAAATATGTCCTCTGTACGTCCCTTACGAGCAGAAGAAGCCAGCCAAAACTTGGGACGATATCCGTGACGAAATTCTGCCCGAAGAGGCTCACATCGAGCCGCCTGCGACTCCCGACGACTTTTACCGTTTCTGCGAAAGCTGCTGCAGAATACTCATAGACCCGCAATGTGAGGCAAATTTCCCCGGGCCCCAGTATAATTTCTCAAAATAAGGTTTGACGATCAATCCGTGGGAGAACCCCAAAATGTATGCATTGGCCGACAGGTGGGAGTTGATCCCTAACGACGGAGTCTTTCTTTGCAGGTCGACATCGTCGCGAACCGATTTCTGTGGACCTGATGGCTTCGCCCACCACGTTCTTGAGCCAGCTCTCGAATAATAAATGCACTGCTCAATATCATTTCTCAGAGGAAACTCTGCATCTTTTGATCGATCTCGCGTCGAGGTTCAGAAAAGTAAGTCCTGTCCCGAATACCCCCATCGCACCCAACCAGAACGGATTCTGTGTGAAGGACGAAAAGGAGCAAGATTCCTTCCGAGCTTGAACAATTATGATTTGCTCCAGGTGCTCTGCATTGGGACACCGTCTGTCTTCGAGCATCTCCAGCATGTCTCTCACGTCTCGAGTCATCTGGCGGATATTGATCGCAGATTCGAGGCTTTCTTCGGGGAACGAGTCTTCACCTGGTTCAATGCGTTCAATGCACTGGCATTCCGCAAGGGCGACAACAGCGAGCTATGGAGATTCGTAGGATCCGAAACGGACGAATCGTCCGATGCAGAGGGCCTCGATGAATTCCTCATACTTGTGGATCCCCCGTTTGGCGGTCTCTTGGGACCTCTAAGTTGTACCTTGCAGAGAATCAAGAGCAAAGCTGGATGCGGTCGCACAATTCTCGTCTTCCCATACTTCAATGAAGCTCAGGTAATCTGGCGCGAGGGTGAGGCGCAGGGGAGGAATTCCCGAAACGTGAATGAGAATCGTCCATGTATCGGTTCCATTCATCTTCGAGTATTGGCCCAGGCCCCGCCCCCTTCCAGACAGGAAGTTCCTCGTCTGAAAAATGCCTTTCATTCAAGGTCAAGCTGCATTTCCCCGAATTGAAGATGTGTGATTATTCTGTCCGTTATCGGAATCATCGGAAAATGAAGAATTCCAGCCCCGTGCGACTATTCACGGATATCCCACTCAGCTCGATCCGGCTGCCCGAAGACGAATACAAGTGAGATTTGCTTGGTGGATCGAGCGAATCCGACGATCCTTGGCTTTATCGAGAAATGTCTAATCGTAGGGCTAGGTCACTAAGAAGCTTCCCGATTCAGATACTGTCCAGCTTGTGAACGATGGGTCCACAAGATCAATAGGCACTGTGAGAAATGCAACGCTTGCTGCTCTAGAAACCACGAGGAATACAAACATTGCGATCTGTGTTCTCGTTGTATCAAATCAAAATGGACCCACTGCATCAAGTAAGGGAGCTTTATCTTCTCCTCGATGATCGCGATTCTCTAGGACTCTCCGATTGCGGACCTTGCCGAAGTTTACTTCTTTTCGGGTTTGCAGATGCAAAAGATGTCACCTGGAACAGCAATGTGGAGCTCGGCGCGGTGTCGAACGATCAACGAAGAGACCGAGTGGATCGACGGAACGGAGGACGAGAAATAAAAGAGGAAGATAGAGTTACACTCGTCCTGAATCGTGCCCAGGCGCCGAGCGTCGACTTCCTCTATTCTCTCTCTTCGGCATGGACCTCTGAGGAAATTAGGGATACCGGCTATCATCGTCTCATGAACTGCACGCAGAGTCTCAGTTCCACGGCTGACCCTGTCGGGAAGCCGTTAAGATGGACGGTCGGTCGCTACTCCCCGCATGGGCTCTTTCTATATATCTCTGGATAAGGGAACATATTCGAACGATTGATGAATCACTAGGATCAACTTTTCGGACTTCAGATCACTTACTTTCCGGAAGTTTATTTCCTTCTTCACTCATTTGTCCAAACGGGACTCAATCTGAACAGACCCTCCCTTGATGGGGCGGATGGAACAAAGTTAAAGATGGCGAAGTCCGGCACGCGAGCGGAGCCTATCATTTTTTATCCAAGTACGAAAACTATTCTCTGAGCATAAATGAAGCAATTCCTGACCGCCCATTGGTGAAGTAATCAGAGAAGCGCGAACTCTCTGAAGTCCCCCGTTCGAGCGGGTCTGCATCGCCATCCTATTGCTGAGATCTCGGATCCATGGAATCCAAAGGGGTTTGCATTGATACCTACTCCTCATCGAGGGCGTATCGAGAGATGTCGAGTTAGCTGCCATCACGTATACTCGGCTTCGTTCCCTTCACATCGTCTGTGCTCCCAAGCGCTCGGAATCTCTCCAGGGGCAGCGGGATCGTGTTGTACGCACAAGAGAACATCCAGTCTTCGATAGGGAATTTCCACGTAAATCTTTCTTGAATCATCACAGCCTGCGGAGCGAAATGGAGAAAGCTCGAGAGATCTGATGAGAACATGTTTTCTCCCTGATCATTGATCGACGTGAAGACTTGACTAGCCCATTGGCGACTACCAATGAGCTTCCGGGAAAACAAACTCACCTTTTTGAGTTCCGAGCCGAAATTATGGCGTTTAGCAAATGAATCTGCCTGGAACTCGAACCTCCGCGCAATGAGCACCGAAGCTTTATCCAGGAACTTGAGGGAAAAAATCTTCCGTTGAGAGTCTGACCCCGAATCGAACCCGATCATGAAAGGGTGCTCGGGAGATCCTCGTGGTATGCCGAGGAGAGACTCCTCACATTACCTCATCTATGGGGTGATACAAGCTCCCCGCGACTATGAGAATTCCGATCAGGAGCGGCTGTTCATTGCCGAAACCAAAAGCTCGGTATAGATTCTTGTCCTCCAGGAATACTACAAATGTGACGAAAGCGATGAAAAGATGGAATTGGGACAGGATGAGATGCGTAGTGTTATGATGAGATTTCCAGTGTCCAAACTCGTGGCAAAGGAGCGCTAGGACCTGTTCCTCGGTGTACCCTGAGAGTTCGTCGTTCCGAGAGCGCTGTCTTCTCTGATACGTTGGTGACGTCTGAAATATGTTTGATCTTCAATTTGGAAAGTCCTAAGCCGAAGAGGGGCAGATCAACCTTCGAAGAACCATGGGGAGCCATCACCAAGGCAATATCTTGAGCTGACCTTGACGGCGTCATAAAAATCCTTGTCTAGAACGACGGATTTATTCACGGAGAGTCCTAATAGATACACGTCCCCGTGCGTCATGCGCTTCGTACCCTCAGCGATCAGAACGCCGCTCAGCGGGAAGCGGAGCTTCCGCGCGAGACACTCGATTTTCTCCCTGGAAGGTCGACTCCGTAGTAGTGATGAGGAGCATGAAGAAATCCTGGAAGCGTTCATCTCCGTTTTTGTGTCCGGAAGCTCCGGGAAACTCACCTCAATGAGCCCTCGGGGAGGCTCGTGAAGTCATCGAACATGGGTGCTATACAGTTCGGGTATAACAATATGAAAAGCACCGAGGATACCGAAATGAAGATCCAGATGAACAGGAAGGCATTGTTTCCCAGGATACCGCTAACTAGACTGAAACCTAAGGGGAAGAAGAAGCGCTTGGAACCTGAGTCGTTTCAAAAACTGCCTATCTCGCCGTGAGGCTCCTCCTCGCATCAGCCTAGACACGACATGGCGGGAACATATTCGAAAACTCGGATAATAATATCACGGGGAATGGTGTTCACCTGCCACAGCGGCGCAGATCAGCAGCTGACTGCGGATCAGAGTCGTCAACTGGTGCTTCAGAAATATATCTGGCGTCTACAAGGTGGAGTCAAGATTCAGGAGTCTAGTCTTGGAAGATATCGAACCCCTGAGAATTTGAATGATTTCCAATTCTCGAAGGTCTATTCCCGGCCCTAGCAGCCTCTAATATTCCCCACCTCCTGATTGAGTCCGTATTTGGTCTCGATGTAGAGAGTCGAATATATTTCCAACGGGAAATGGAACAAAGAGTTGCCGAGAGCGATTGTCGAGCCGAACACGCAGTTATGAACGAAGTTGAAACGATCTTCAAGTTCTGGAATGATAATTTGGGTTAAGGATCGAACATTCATCCACGGTCACAAGGCATGCACATATGAGTTGCTGCTCGGAGCAGAGGGTACTGTTCCTCGCTGTTGCTCATTAGACCCCACCGCCAGATGTCCATCTTTGATTGCTCACCGCTGGCTTCCACGAGATGTCGCGTGTTCGTCCAAACAAAGTGATAAATTGGGAAGGTCGTGACTATCTGAAATAGAAAACCGGAGCGGACTTCAGAGTCGGTGTCGATTCTGATAAGGTCGCAAACGCGTGGGTGGGAATGGTTCCCCACGGACTTCGTCGGAATCGGTCGACGAAGTTGACTGAAGTCTTACCAGATCACGCAGCAGAGTGAACGCCACTTTCATGAGCAGGAATTTGTTCTTTTCGAGCGCGTACAGCCGCGTCATCCTGAATCGTCTCTTGTCCATCACAGCTTCGGCTTCGGATGTGAGTACATCATGCCTCCGAAGGTGTCGTCGCTTTGAAAGGAATTCAGTACGCTCAACAATATTTTGTCGTGGATTTCTGACCCTGATTCAGTTAGTGGGATTCGACCGAAGTTTAAGACCGGAAGGTCAGAAGCCTCTCACTTGTCTGTAGTGCAGATATATATTCAGCGAATGACAAGCCACGACAACCAAAGCTGCTGAGCGAACAAAATCTTCAGCGGTCATGTCGTGGAATTTGTACTCCTGCAAGATTCGGGAAATGATAGCGGAATGATGTCTCGAGAAATGATGACCACGCAATAATCGGATATTGACCGAATCTCTCTAGCGGAGAACCCGGCGCTCGGGTCTCCCCGAATGTTCAGTGGGAGACTGACCTCTCTCTTGGGTTTTTATCGACTGGCCGCTCTCCGCAGATACCATCGTAGCAGTAATACTCGTCCATTTCGGCAGCAATTCCCTGGTCTGTAAGAGTTGTCGCGAACTCTCGAATGAGGGCACGGTCAGGTCCAGTCACCGGCATCCCGAACGGCCCGGTCAAGCGTTCGAATTCTCCCTTACAAATGTCAGGATACCTTCCCTGGTCTTTCTTAGACTTCATACCTTTCTCCAAGGTTCCTCTTGAGGTAGCTTGTGGAAGATCAGCTTTAAGCGCAGCCTGCACAGAGAGTCATGCGGCGAGCCGCTTTCGCCATTATCTTTGGAGCGGATCGCTCTCGGACCACAAGAGCTGTGGGGGCCCGTGTTTTGAACTCGACGAGGAGGCAGAGCCGACCGGCGCGCGCAGGAGCCCTCAACAGCGCCTCTCGTGGCTCATGAGGGGGTACCGTGGGCTCAATCCGTGATGTAGCTCCTAGGGCAGCCGCAAGATCGACAACACGG